ATACCGGGCACCTAAGAGGGCTGGTTCCTAGTTTATCGACACAGACTCAAGCCCTGTGACAAGGTAGTGGGCAGACTCTGCAGGAGGATCAGGGTTTCCCAGACCTTAGTAGGCCCCAGGCAGGGGAGGGAGCACGCGCAGAACCCTAGCCTGGACCTCTGCCCCAGTTCTGTCTCTTCAGGTGCCGACCATCTACAGACCTCCAGCAGCAGAATGGGGTAGGGAAAGTCAGGGGGACAGGCAGGAAATTATTCTCCAGGAGGTGCCCTTCCTAGGTCTGGGCCCCGGGGTTGTGGGGGTAGCCAAGACAATGCAACTAGGCCAGTAAGTGTAATAACTGCAGGCATCTCTGCTCCAAACTGATCAACACCAGTGTCAGGGACCTGGCAGCCCTCCAGTCTCCCAGTTATTGCAGTGAGGAATCCAGGGTAGGGTTTGAATCTGCTGTCTGCAGAAATCTCCATGCTCAAGGATCTCACTGTGAGCAGTGAGAACGCCGCGATCCCACCAGTCTAAGAAACGGATGGCCTAGAAAATCACCTTGCCTCTCGGCCTCACTTCGCACTCCTATAAAATGGGAATGGACAAGAAAGCAGCTTCTATTGCTGCTATGCCTATCTTAATAACCATTTATTGCCCTAGATGAAGTATTAATGTTATTGAACTAGTCACTTAATTCCATATCCCTTCCCAGCTACTTTACCCTTGTGATATAGAACACTTTTGTTTTTTCAAGACAAGGTTTCTCTACGTAGCCCTGGGTTTCCTGGAACTCACTATGTAGCCAAGACTGGCCTTGAGCTCAGAGAGCTGCCTGCCTCTGCTTCTCGAGTGCTAGGATTAAAGGTGTGTACCACCACACCTGCCTCAGAAATCTTAATTATAGAACAGTTGTTCTTTCTGACTTATGACCCAAAGGATGACAGGTATTTCACAAGAAAGCTGCACAAGAAGATGAGGAGCCCTGAACTGTGGCCCCACAGCATCCCTGAATTATCATCTAAGGGACATTTGTCTCCTTGGGCAAGGTCTGTCCTTCCCAGAGTCCCGGTTGGAATGTACAGGTCTAGGGGTTAGCTGAGGAGGGGGTCTGTTTGAGTCAGCTGTAAGTCTGAGAATATATATGCATGGAGGGGACTCTGGGACCTCCCGTCTTCACGGTCAGATCAGACCCCTCATGCTGCCTCTGGAGGGTCTGAGTCAGGAGCCGAGAGGAACTGGCAGCAGCCGTACCCCACATATACACTGCTCTGAGGACATCCCGTCAGTTCCTCAGAAATCTGAAGACAGACAGACAGATGGGTCAGTTGTAGGGCAAGAGGTACCAGCCTCAAACAGCCCAGTACCCAGTCCAGGCTTCCAAGAGTTAAGACCCAGAGCAAAAGGGGGAGGCAGGGTCAGTGCTGGACAGGCGGGCCTGGAGCCCAGGGCCTGCTTCCCTTCCCCCTCCTCTAGGAACAGAGGCCGCTTGTTTGGGTATTGGCGGCTGGCTTTGAGCTCAGTCAAGGGGGAGTGGAGTGGGGAAGAAGCCCTAGAGAATGGGAGAGACTCCCTCCCTCCCTCCTTCGGGCAGAGGCCTAGGCCGGCATCGGCGGCGTCCGTTGCTGTCAGTGCTCTGGGCCCCTTCCTCCAGGACTCTAGGGCAGGATTCACACTGGCCTGACTCTTGCTTTAGCAGTTGTCCTTGGAACGGGAAGCCAGGCTTGTCATCCCACCCCTCAGACGTGGAAAGGTGGCTCTGAAAAGGGTGGAGAGTGTCAGAGTCACACAGGGCTTGGTGGCAGTACTAGAAGTCCAGACGCAGATCCCAGCTGGTCTCACCCTGCAGCCATCTTCAGACATCTAAGGCAACCCTTCCCAAGTCTTGCCTTACCCAGAACTGAAAACCAGGCCAGCAGGCCACATCGGAACCCCGAAATCTCAGAGAACATGGGGATTTGGATGAGGAGCAAACTTGTGAGACCTCTGTAAAAAAGGCTGATTTGTGATGGAGAAGTATGGCTGGACCCCAAGGGATGGGGGCCAAGTAAGGAGGCCTGAAATGTCCAAATAAAACCTGGGAGCATTGGGAACACTTCCCTCCACCTCACAGACATCAGTAGCCTACCTGGGACATCTCACTTGTACCCTATTCCACTGGGGAGCAGGGTCCCAGGCCAGGGTCCAAATAAAGTCCAACCCGGCCTGAGTCCCAAGGATTAGTTCTTAGCAAACCCTTCCCTTCCCTCCCACCCCTCGCAGCCGCACCCACCTCCTCGCTTCATCAAGTTAGAGAATCCCTTCCTTGCCACAAGCTCTTGCTCACACCCTGCAGTCAGGTTTTGCAAACAGTCACTTAACTACCAAAGCTCACTCCAGGCATCCTCTCCTCCCCAGGTCTGCACCTGTCCACACCTGTCTCTGGGTTCTGCTGAGTTTCTTTTACCCTGTAATGACGGCGCTAGGATGTCAGGCTTCCCCTAGCACAGCATTCGCTGCTCTCCAGGTATCAGGGTCCCTGGGACCCAGCAGCAGTCAAATCCTTACCTCCCAAGCTCAGTCTGAACCCTCGAACCCCAACTATGGGCATTAGGGAAGGTTCCCCAGGACACCGGATTTAGGGGAAACATAGGACAGAAGCCTACTGTGCTGTGTCCTAATCACCCAGCAACCAAACCTACCCATGGAGATCTGAGACCAAACACACACCCCGCCGCCCCAGATGCACGGCAACCCTGCTCTAAGCCCATCCACCCACTCCTAGCCTGACCCCATTCAACGATTACACCCCTGCTTTCCCTGCAACTGGGCCAGGTAGGCTCTAGAGAAACTGTGCCCCCATTAACTGGTGAAGAATCGAGGTGCAGAGGACGGAAGTAGCCTGCCCAAGGTTACCAACGCCCCAGGTCCAGGGCTAAAGTCCTACAGCTTTGCGAGGCCATAAGGCGTGTCCGCGGTCGATCGGGTGGGAGCCTTCAGTTCTCAGGTGGGAAAAACCAACGCCACCCGACGCGACTGGCTCCGCAGCCTTCAGCCTACGAGCCCGCAAGCAGAAGAGCTGCCGGCTGGAAGCCGTGTCAACCAGCTCGCCCTCCTCGTCCCTCTGGACCTGGCCGGACGCCTCCACCTCGGGAGGTGGCCCCACCTCACTCCATTCCCAGGCAGGAGAACGCACCAGATGACCCCGGGGAAAGTACCCCGGGCCTCACCATTCCCTTCAGAAGAATGGGGGCAGTGCAAGCCACAGCTGACGACTGGGAGGCCCAGCAACCTAACTGACCTGTTTTGAGCGAAGAGAACTCCACGCGGGGAACCCGGGGTCCCGGAACCGTCTGTCACACGAGGCCGCTGCCAACTCGCGGCGGCGGTCCGGGCGCGCCCACCTCGCCCGGCGCTTCCGCCCGCCCCACGTGACACTCCGGGGACCGGAGGGCGGGGAAGGGGCAGGGAGCCTGCCGGTCCCGCCCCCAGCCTAGTCCAGATCCTCGGTCAGCTGGACCGACTTGCCCGCCGGGTTTGTCTTTCCCTTGCCCTTCTAGCTTGCTAAGGCATTGAGGCCCATGACACTACCCCGCCCTTGCTGAGACTCCACCGGTCCCGATCCTTGAGTCTTGCCTGACACCCCTGTTCTGGTGAGTCTACCCCTGGGCGAGGAGACACACACACAGACACACATCTAGGGGATAGGGGGCCACTGGAAGCGGGACAGCCATGGCTGGTGACCACCTTCCCTGGGAGTCCTGCACCTGCTGCTGTCCCCAGGGCCACATCTCCCTGCAGAGGGTGCTGGCAAAGTGTCCCACCAGAGTCCGGCGCTTCTCACCTCCTCCCCACCCAGGTGAAACGCCCAGACTTGACAAGTATTTCTGGGTCCTGGCGCTAGCCAAACCAGAGGCCTTAACTTAGCTGGGCTTCCATTTTTCCATAAGTACAATGGGCCTATGTGGAAGAACACCTCTCAGCAGGGTGGGAGGAAGAGAGAGTCTACCCCATGTTCTCTCTAGTCTCGGTTCTCACATTCGCTTACCCATAAAAGCGATCTCCCTAGGTTATCGGCTAGGAAATGACAGTCTGCAATTTTTCAGGGTGTTCTCAAAGTTACAGACCATTGCGGCATGGCTACAGCTGGAACTTTCCAGGTGATGATAGGGCCTCCTGTCCCGGCCTCTCTCTACAGAAACTGTTCCTCTGGGAAAAACTTGCCTCTGAGCTGACTGTTTTCCCCAGGGATTTCCAGGAGAGATTAACAGGGTCAGATTTGGGAAGTACTTCCTTCCAGACTTCAAGTTCTTGTGGTGCCAAAGATACCAGAGACAAGCAGAGCCTAAGACCCACTCTGGGGCTCTGGACATCCCTTGGGCAGCAGATGAGCCACAGACAGCAGAGACAGCCCAGGCCTCCCTCTAGAGCTCAGAGCAGCCAGGGGTAACATTAGTGAGGGCTGGCACCTGGTCAGAGGAGGGGACCCCACAATTCCTGTCAAGAGCAGTCTAAGACCTTCAACACTAAGTGCCTCTATGTGCAGTGGAGATGTGACCTCACCAGCACCCACTCCTCCTCCTCCTCCTCCTCCTCCTCCTCCTCCTCCTCCTCCTCCTCCTCCTCCTCCTCCTCCTCTACCAGGGCACACTGTCCTACCTCAGTTCTCAGGTCTTCAGCCCTTGCCTTTGACCTATGGGTCCCTCCTCTTCCTTGTGCCATGACAAGAGCCAGAGAGTGTGCCAGACCCAATAGTCCATAGCTAGAATGGACCAGAGGTCTGTCACGCAGTGAAACCTGACCTCTGGCCAGACCAGCTCCTCACAGAGCCCTGGGAAACAAGTCAACCACCTTTGTGACCAGCAAAGTCAGTGTGCAAATGGACAGGGGGAAAGGAACCAGACCGCATCCTGCAGTTACACAAGCAGAAACACGATGCCTACGGTGCAAAGGTCCAGTGAGCAATAACAGTATTAAGGAAAATTACTGTAGAACAAGGCGTCTGCTGGGCAGACGAGAAGCAGGCACAAGAAAGAGCTGGCTGGGGCTGTGTGGTTTGTTTATTGGGGCCATGTCCAGTCAGGCCACAGCCACCTGAGCAGGAGCCCAGTGCCCCCAGAAGGCAGGTGGGGGAAGGGAGGAAGTGCAGAAGGCCCAGTGCCCCAGGGCTCAGCCCCAGTCCTGTCTCCGTCTTTGCAGAGGGGCTGTACTCAGGTGAGTGAGGTGTCGTCATCACTGCCTTCTCCACCCGCACCACCTGCTCGCTGCTCCTCGCGGCTCTCTGCCACGGCACTCTCGTCGATGTTCTCCAGGGAGTCCGCATGCTGCACGGACAGCTCTGACAGCGCCAGGCTGGGCAGCGGGCTCTGCTCCGGGTGCAGCCATGGCTTGAAGTGTGGCTGGTGTTTCTGCTTCCACTCGGGATACTTGATACAGGCCTTGTACATCTTCTTCATGGCCTGTAGGCCACGTGAACATTGTTAGGGGGACCTAGAAGCCAGCACTTCTCCACACCCCTCCAGTGCCCTCCGGTGGTGCGCAGCAGCCCCAGAGTCTCATCAACCACAGTTAACTCTGCCCCCCCTCCCCCGCACACGGCTAGCTGCCCCTCCCCCATGCCCAAAGTTCAAGCCACTTACCTTGGGAGCCAGGAACTGAGATGATTTATTCACCACCCACTTGGGTAAGGAGCCTGTGGGGGCAAGGATAAAAGGTGGCCTTAAGCACCTAGCCCCGCCCACTGCCAGAGTTTGCAGGGAGGCCACCCCTTCCTCCTCCACGATGTTCTCAAGTCCCCTACTGTCTCTACCGAGTTCCAGCTGCAGAGAAGAAACCATAGGGTCTTAGGTGACCACAAGTATTCTAACCTACCAAGCTCCAGCCTGTCACCTTCTTCCCCTCACACTGATAACCCAGGACTGCCCCCCGGTGCTCAGCCTCTCTCCTGCCTGTCCTTCTGGGCCTCCTAAGACCCCATAAACCCAGCACCTCAGCCTGACCTAGCCCAGCTCTCCATCGGGCTCACTCCCAGATACCTGCTCTGTATGCTCCTTACGGGCCAAGAGACACGGGGTATTACCCCGCTCACCCCGCTGTGACGCCCACCCTGGACTAGCCAATGTCTGCTGGAGGGGGATGGGCCCACAAACAGGGAGTAGGCCTCTGGGAACTGAGGGCAGAGGAAGGGTCATGGCATGCATCCCTGGAGCGCTGAGGAAGGAGAGGTGCAGGCAGCTAGCGAGGATAAAGGTTGTATGAACATCGAGGTGGGGAACGGAAGGCAGAAATCCCGGGCAGAGACTCAGGCTATACTCAGGGCAACAGAGTCACAGTGGCATTTTAAGCAGGTGAGTCAGAGGAAACTAGAGGGTTTTGTTTTTTTGTTTCCTCTGGTAGCTGGTTTGGACAAACAAAGTAGGTGAGTACCAAGAACAACAGGCTAGGAGCTATGTCAGAGGGTGAAAAGGTAAGAACCAGGGGCTGAGTTAGTTAGCACAGCCCTGCAATCCCAGCAACTAGAGCTGGAGGCAGGGTGGTGAGGAGCTCAAGGCCAGCCTGGGCTACAGAGTGAGACAGGAGGAGAATAAGTATTGGGTTTGGGACCAGACAAGGAGAAGCTGGCCCCAGCTAAGGGCAAGTGCTGGGCAGAGGTGATCTGAAGAAAGGGTGGATCTTGGGAGGCCGCTGGCGAGCTGGAAGTTGAACACAAGTCTCTGGTATCTAGAAGATAACCGGAGGAAGATGCCTAGGAAGCAGATGAGTGCTCAGCTCATGGAAGTGAGGTGAAAGGCCAGGCCTGGAAAACCCAGGCCTCTGGGATGTGGCTGAAGGAGACAGGGCAGGACAGGTCCAAGCTCCTGGAAGAAGCAATGCCTGCCTCGTGGGTCCTTTCAAACTACTAGCTGTGAATACAGACACCCCCAGTACTGCATGGCTCCTAACAGATGGCCTGGCAGATCAAGTTCATTTCCTGTACAGGGTGGGCGCCCGTTAATGGACTGCAGAGGCCAAGCCCTCACCTTTGGGATCCACTTGGGCCAGATAGGTAATAACACAGCTCTTGGGCCCCGTGCTCTGGATGAGGTAGCCCGTCTGGATGGAAACGGCTCGGACCAAGTCTTTCCGAGGTGGGTATTTCTGGGGATGAAAGACACAGGGAGGTGAGATTTGGGTGGGGGCAGAGGAACCCTTAAAGTCATGCACTTACACACACACGCACACGCGTGCACACACGCACAGACTCATAGCTGTTCACATCACTTGGCTTCTAATCTAAGAGTTAAGGGAGAAGAATCAGAACAGGTTGTCCTTGCCCCTCTTACAGCTGTGTCTGTACCATCAGCACAGAACAGGGCTAAGTAAGGGTTTACAGTGTTTGTGGGCACTCAGCCCTGGCCTAGGCTCACCTGCCCTCTCTGTCCAGGGTCCTGCCATGGAGCTCCTGCCCCCCCATTTCTAGGCCAGCCACCCCAGTTCACACCCTCACCCTTTCTGCCCACACTGCCCTGTCCATCATCCTTCTGCACATCCAGGCGGGCAACTCACAGGATGCTTCACTGAGTAGTTCATAATGATGTAATCAGTGCCCATGGGGAGCCAGGAACGGAGGGTGATGACATCACGGTTCTTCAGAGGCTTGGGACACCTCCCTGCAGAGGGCAAGGAACAGTTCCAGGCTGCTGGCCCATCTTCCGGTAAGGGAGGGAGACTTGGGGATCCTGTGAACTGCCAGCCCTCCCCATCCAGACAGGTACCACAGACACTCTGTGGAACCAGGGAGGACACAGGAGAACCCTGTCCTGCTATCTCTGCCCACCCTGCCCCTCAGGGCCTCACACAGCCCTTACCTTATTGTTCCGACATATCTGAACATGTGAATATATTTGTAAGACAGACAGTACTGTGATCACATGTGCATAAACATGTGTCTCTGTGGTACACGGCATGTGGCTACGAGTCGTATGCACTCAGAGGTCCCCATACACATGTGTGTGCATCAGTGAGGGGGCAGCTCTCTGTCTCAGCATGCAGGTCTCTGAGCAGCCCGACCACAGGGAGGGAAGTTAGAGGAGACCTGGTGGGAAGCTGAGGGGGTTGGAGTCTTGTATGCCTGCTCACAAGAGTAATAGCCGACGTCGGCGTTGACAGTCAGGCGGGCGATGTCGAAAGTCTCAATGACATTGCTGTCCCACTTCTTCCGGTATTCTATGTCGTGCAGGACGTCGTAGAGCGTCTCAGCTGGCACGTCGCAGCACTCCATCCTGCACTGCAGAAGACATGGTGGTCAGGGTTTCTTACACCAAAGGACAGTCAGCCCAGACCAGCGCAGCCCAGTATCCTCTTTAGAACCATCCAGGCTCCCACTCACTGAATCTGTCTGTCCTCCCTGTCCCCTGGGAGCAACACATGGGCAGAAGCTCACAGTTAATTCAATAAGGAGCTTGAGATAGGGACACACTAAATGAGAAATCAAATGTCCAAACAGACCTTACCACCTGACCACTGTGTGTGTGTGTGTGTGTGTGTGTGTGTGTGTGTGCGCACGCGCATGCACATATACGTGATTCAAAATCAAATGCCCAAACAGACCTTACCACCTGGCCACTGTGTGTGTGTGTGTGTGTGTGTGTGTGTGTGTGTGCGTGCACATATACGTGATTCAAAATCAAATGCCCAAACAGACCTTACCACCTGGCCACTGTGTGTGTGTGTGTGTGCACGTGCATATGCGTGATTCAAAATCAAATGCCCAAACAGACCTTACCACCTGGCCACTGTGTGTGCATGCGCGTGCATGTGTGTGATTCAAAATCAAATGCCCAAATAGACCTTACTACCAGGCCACTGTGTGTGTGCGCGCGCATGTGTGTGATTCAAAAAACTCTTGTAATCCCAGAACTTGAGAGGCTAGAACGAGAGGATCACCCCAAATTCAAGGTCTGCCTGGGTCTCCTCGACTAGGAGACTATCCTCAGACGTCTCCTGTTGTCCTCATCTAGGAGACTATCCTCAGACGTCTCCTGTCGTCCTCATCTAGGAGACTATCCTCAGACGTCTCCTGTCATCCCGGCTAGGAGACTATCCTCAGTTGTCTCCCTATTACTTAGTTGTGCTCTCAAAGAGCTTCCCATCTAGGGGAGGAAAGTGCCAAGCATATCTTGCTTTATTAGGCCTCCCGATGATTATGCCAGTTAAGAAAGCCGAGGAGAGACCTGAGGTTCAAAGAGGTTTAGTACCTGCCCAAGGTCACCTGGCTGGCTAAGTAGCAGGGCTGGGATTTAATCCAGCTCTTAAGTCTAGGAAGCAAGTAAAGAGAGAACCAGGGTTCTCAGGATCTGTATTCAAAGGGTGAGATTCGTGTCCTTGTTCTGCTCCACCCCAAGAGCACAAGCCCCACGGCCAATATAACAGTTCTGCCGTGTGGTCTATAATGCTCTCTCAGAACTGATATTCATCCGACAGAGGAAAGCTACACACATGCTACTCTCTACCCATGACAGAGTACATGCAGCTACAGGAGAGGCAGCACCGCCTCCCTCCTCACCCAGGACAGGCCTTGGCACCATGAAAGCCCATAATAGGCTGCTCCCAGCTAAGGATTCTAAATACAAGAAACTCACTATGCCCTCCCTACACACCCCTTCAGATTACAATAAAGGTCACAGAGGAACAAGCTAAGTGACACCATAAGAAGAGGTGCTGGGCACTGCGGGGTTCCCCACCTTGTCCTTTCTGTCAGGTTGATATCATAATGATGTTTGTTTGGTGTTTTGTTTTGTTTTGAGATAGGGTTTCTGTGTGGTCCCCGCTTTCTTGGACCTCGCTCAGGTCGGCCTCAAACTCAAGAGATCTGTCTACCTCTGCCTCCCAAGTGCTGAGTTTAAAGGTTGAGCCACCATGCCTGGCTCACCATTTGGGTTTTTGTTATTGTTGGTTTTAGATCTTTCAAAACATGGTCTTTCTATGTAGCCTTGGCCATTCTGGAACTCACTCTATAGACCAGGCTGGACTTGAACTCAAAGATCCGCCAGTGTCCTGAGTGCTGGGATCAAAGGTGCGTGCCACTACCAACTTGCATTTTTTAAAATGATTTACTTTTATTTTATGTGTGTTGGTGTTTTGCCTACATGTATGCCTATGTGAGGGTGTCAGATCTCCTGGAACTGGAGTTACAGACAGGTGTGAGCTGCCTAGGAATTGAACCCAGGTCCTGTGGAAGAGTAGCCAGTGCTCTTTACCCACTGAGCATCTGTGCAGCCCTGGGCATCACCAAGTGTGACTCTGGGTTGTTAAACATCAGCTGTAAATAGGACATTCCTCCTCTTCCTCCTCCTTTTAACCAGAGATTTGATCCAGGGCCTCGTGAATGCAAGACAAGCTCTATGACTGAGATGAACCCTCAGGCCTCTTTGCACTTATTTTGAAATTGGATCTTATTAAATCGCCCAGTCTCGGCCTCTAGTGCCTTGCATGACAGCAGCCCTGCACCACCTTACAAGAGACATCTGGGGACAACTAGAGAAACCTGAAGGTGATCTGAGTATTAGATGCACTGAAAATTTATAGAAACAAATGGTGGCAATCCGCCCCCCCCCAAGAAAAAAGGATGTCACAAACTGAAAAATGCAGCGAGGAAAATCTATGCTTATAAAAAGCTTGAGACACACGACTCTCAGGTTGCCGGCCCTGGTGGCCGTCTGTGGATAAGAGTGCAATGTTTTGTTTCCCTTTCATTTGTATTTCTGATTTTCTGAAATGTTATTAATAGTGCTTCAGCAATAACAAACTTTTTCCCTTTAGTTTTTTGAGATAGGGTTTCTCTGTATAGCTCTGGCTGTCCTGGACCTTGCTTTGTAGACCAGGCTGACCTCAAATTCATAGAGATCTGCCAGCCTCTGCCTCTTGAGTGCTGGGATTAAAGATGTACACCACCATGCCCAGATAATAACAAAAATTTTTAAGTAAAAAAGTCCTCCAGGTCATAGCTCCATTCTGAGAATGAGAACCATTTTAGAATGAAGAGTTCTAGCTGTCAGCCACGAGATAGCCAGACAGATCTGCCCTCTCCTAGACTGAGCTTCTAGTCAGAACACAGCTTCTAGTCTGGACACAGACAAATCTTTAGCCCCTTCCCTACCTTCAACAAAATAATTTGAAAACATGCACATGCACACATGTGTACCTGCACAAAACACACGTGATGCACAAATACATATGCATTTTTTTAAATTTTAAAGAGTTCTAGGTTAGCTTTGAACTCGTGGTCCTCCTGCCTTCATCTCCTTCAGCAAATCCTACTGGCATGCACTACCATAACTGGCTCAAAGAGAGTCTAAAGTTCAGGCAAGAGAAAGATAGAGGTCATAGGCAGAGCCAATACTTGGCATGGCCAAAGTTGTGGGTTCTACAAGTAATACAACAACAACACAAAATTCAGGAATGGACTCCGGCCTACACCTATAAAGCGTGGTTTTATGTAAGTTGTTTTCCCTCTGCCCCGTTTACTTTTCTAGTCTGTGGGAGTGTGCGGCTGGATCCCCCAGCTAACTAGCAGTCAGGAGGTGAGTCTGAAGCCTGGGCTTAACCTTCCAGACAAGGAAGATGACCTAACATGCCTGGCAGGGCTCCGAACAGCCTGGATTCTCAGGGGCCAGTGGGGGAGCAGGCTTCCTGGAGAGTGGTGATTGCCAAGGACAGGGCAGAGAGTGCAATGAGGACCAAGGCCCGGAGCCAGGCAAGAGCATGGTGTACGATGAGGGTGCGTACATCCACTGGCTCAAGTTTCTATGCCGTGGCAAACAAAGCCTAAGACTCAAAGATTGGTTCCAAATTTGCTTGGAGAAATGGGTGATTCCTGGGCTACGCCATGGGAAGTCTAGGATGAGCCTGGGACATCTTCATGTCAGAAGGGAAGGAGGCAGAGAAAGGACGTGTGCAGCAGACATGAGAGCCAGCTCTATCTATTGTCACAAGTTCTGGGAGATCATAACTGCAGGCAAACGAGGGCAGCTGCTCACTCTGCCATGAGCTACATCTAGGACAAGCTGGCTGAAATGGGTGAAAACTGTGATAGCAACAGATTGTGCTACCCCAACAGAAACCAAATACATACAGGTCCGGCTAAATAAATGCAATGTATGATCAAGAATGGATTATGTGCATAGTTTCAAGGCACTGCCTATCAAATACTTACTAATTACAAGGGAAAATAAGAGTCTGGGAGATGGCTCAGTAAGTGTGAGGACCCTAAGTACAACTCCCACCACCATGTAAATGCTGGGCAGTGTGGCGGGCCTCTGGCAACCCCAGTACTCAGGAGATTCCTGGGACAAGCTGACTAGCTGGACTGTCGGAATCAGTGATGGCATCACTGATGAATCCTGCCTTGTTAAATAAAGTGGAGCATTATCAAGACAGACAATTCAATGTCAACTTCTGGCTTTACACATGTGTGCACATGCAAGCACACATCAAGTGCGGGGGCAGAGAGTGCTGTCAGGACCAAGGCCCAGAGCCAGAAAAGGGCACGGTGTACTGAGAGGCTCAAGTTTCTGGGGCATGGTGTACAGAAGGTCCCCAGTTCCAAACACACAAAGGGCGGGGTGGGGGACTTCATAGTACAGAAAGATGGTAGGTTTGTAATGGGTCAAGTTACAATCATGTGTTCCCTGGCAAGGTGCAGGGGACAGAATGGAGACAACACTTAGGTGGGACCTCCACCAAGAGGCACAACACTGATCACAAGAAAAACACCAGACAAACCCAGCGGAGGGAACTGGCCTGTAAGTACCACAATTCTGAATGTCAAGAGAAGACGAGAATTGTACCAGACTGAAGGAGACAACAGTACATGAGTGAGTGGACAGGGAGAGATTCGATGGGGAGAAAAAGGACTGCCGACGTTGGCAAAGACCACACAGCCATCACTGTTAGCACCCAGTCTTCTCTGCAGCAGCCTCAGAAGGTACAGATAAATCTCCACCCCTCCTGTGCTGCGAAGCAGAACTGGGGAGCAGAAGACTAAGAAAATTATAGCATATATCAAGAAAGCAGCTGGGCAGGTATTCAAAGTCAGCTCTATGCCCTTTTGTTTGAATGTGGGGGTGGGTGACAAGTGTCTCTGGTTTTGTTTTCTGAGACAGGGCCTTGCTATGTAGCCAAGGCTAGCCTTGAATTCAAACTCCTCTGGCCTCAGCCTCTTGAGGGTTGGAACAGCAGGTGCTATGCCACTGTGCTTGGCTTTCCTGTGATATAGATATGAATACT